TTCAAAATGTTGATATGATTCATGAAATAACTTACAAGGAATCTTGCATATAGATTGGATACCTGTCCATTAATTCTGGGTTGTGATGAGCTTGAAAAAATTCAAAGATGGACAGTCATGGATTATATCAGAAATTCTGCTTTGGTCAACATAGCCCTCTCAATGTTTAGATTATACTAGAAGCTGTAACATAAAACCCCTGAAATTTCCACATCTTAACACGATAGAAATTCCACTCAAGCAAAAAAGCCCAATATGGATGTTCCTGTGAGTGAGGGGGTGTCACAGTCAATCAGGCAGCACACTGGTAGATGCTCTGTAAGTTTCACCATGCTGATTCCAAGGTCACTCCAAACATCAACATCTAGCCAGCACGCAGATGGGTAAAGAGAAACTATGAACGATCACATGATAGACTATATTAAACAGACCTAAAAATATTCCACTGGCCATCACCCAAATGAGTGTGTTTTACTCTGTGGGATCTAGGACACGCCATTTGTATGTGTAGGAGTAAAATAAAACAGATTTGGCTAATAGCCAGCTTCTGTAGCATATCCCATTCTCCTTCCTATCTCTAGTCACCTCTAAATCTCTTCCAACTATCTCTTCTCCAAATTCTTTTGACCATGCCACTATCCAATCAAATCTCCCCTAGTCAACCCTGTCATTATGTGTCTCCCCATCCTCATCGATATTTTCAGCTTACTAATTTCCAAAATATAGTTTGGGAACCCCCAAGCAGCAGATTCCCTTATCAAGTGTGATAAAAATGTGTATTCCCAGTCACCACTGACAACTTGCAGAATCAGGCTCTTTGAAGCTCAGGAGTTTGTATGTTTAATAGGATTATTCTGAATTGGATTATTCTGAAGCACACTAATGTATAAAATCACTGACTTGGAAGCCTTACTGAGCACACACTTGATTATTATGTCAGGATTTACAACATTTCTATAAATGTTTCCTACTTCAAACCATTTTCTACAAAATCTTAGGCTTTCTGTAGGGTGAAGTAATATTTTTCCCCCATCTCTCATTTCTCCTATAAGGTCTAATGCTACACTGGGCACGTGACAGAAGCTCAAGATGTACTGCTAGTTAATTGTGGATTGAACAATGGAATGGGCAACTGCCAAAATGAAATGTACTAAAAAGGATTTTTCAAGCTGGAAAGACTGAGAAAGGACAGGATGAGAGCCGAGAAATCATAAAAGGAAGAGTTAGAAAGAATTAGAACTAGGCCATTTCTGTCTAGCAAAACTAAAATTGTCTCCCCTCCCTTAGTGATAACAAAACAACCAATCACTCTTTAGGAGACAAAGAGAAGAAGCAAAAGGAAAGACTACTTTGTACCATGATTAATGAACTCAGGGAATTTGTTCCCCTAAAGAAAAGAATGTACAAGTAATTGTCAAAATTGTAGATCCAATACAGGATACAAATATAAATTAGGAAGATGGAGGAAATTTCTAATCTAGGAAGAGTTTCAATATCATCAACAAAAGTCATATATGCCCTTTAAATATTCCATTGTATTCTCTTTAGAAATAAAATCTTTGACCTATAAGAAAACCAGATGTATTTGCAGGAATGGAGTTATGGGAAAATTGAACAAATATTGTGCAACCAAACATTTACATTTATTCCAGGTCACCAATCCAAGTAGTGTGTCACGATGAGCTCATAAAAATAAGCTATAGGTAACATGGTCCCATTTCCATTGTTCACTTCAGCTTCCTCACCTTGCTTCTATTTTTGTTCTGCTTCTCTGCTCCACTTTTTGCCTGGTTTCTAGGCCTTTACTTTCATCCCTTGTTTTTTTCCATTCTCATACTTTGTACACAACATAAGAGTCTTAATCTCTTTGATTTTGATTTTTGGCATCTTAAGCACAAGATTCCTCTTGCTTGTTACTTTGAAAACAAAATCTTATCAAGTGCTATAGATGGGCCTACTTCAGCCCCTTAGAGAGGACTCAATCAATTCCCTTGATACCAGAATATTGGACAGTTTCCATAAATGATCCTTGTTATTTCTTCCTTATCGTAAAGTCCTAGAGTGATGATTGGAAAGAGAAAATATGCCATTGTTCCCCCTGAACTTGTCTGAACTGGGTTCAGGGAACAGCTTTAGAGAGAGTAAAGAATGTTTGGCTCTTTAACATAGTAATGTCTGCTCAATCTCTTAGTCTGCTGGCTAGGGGTCAACAGGATCAGAAGTTGCACAATTACTGTCTGAAACGATTGTAGCTTACTTTCAGGATGTGTTTATGTTAGACACTAAGTTGATCTACATTATTAAGTGTCTATTATATAATTTCAGCGATCCATGAGGTAGGCGATATCATTCTTTAAAAAGACGAGACTGAGGTTCAAAGAAATTAGGTAACTTGCTCAATCACACAGCTAGGAATCCATTAATCCTGATTTGAACGTAGATTTTTTTGACACCAGAGTCCACATAATGACTACACGACACATCATTGATACCGCTAGAGGGCTTTCACATTGAAAAGTTCCAGGGAGTTTATTTTGCCATGATGTTGTCTGTCAACCAACATGAGTTTTCTAAAGGCAGAGACCACATACAATCTTTGCATAGTGAATTAGGGCATTGATATCACAAAGTTCTTGCTGGTGCAAGACACAAAAAGAGATGTTGCTGTCTGAAAAAGAATTCAGTTTCAGGTGCTGTTTAAATAGTGAAGTGGGATGTAGAGTTGGTGCAGAGGGGAGAGGTGAGAGAGAGAAAGACTTGAGTGCTTTACCTTGAATAAATTTGACAGTCCAGAGAATGTAAATTTCTAAGAGAACAGAAATCACATATAGCACTATTTTCTGCAATTTGTCATAGCCTATACTTCTAATATCTGGAAAGGGAGGGCAGATAAGATAATAAGTCTAAAATAACATGAAGGTTCTTAAATTGGAAGGTGTAAAACCTGCATTGTCAAAAATGGGCCAACAGCTTCAAAATTATCCTTAACTTTAGTGAGTCAAGTTCTTAAAATTTCACCAGTTCAACAATGAGTATTACAGTATGTGCTCCTAAAAATGCGTTTTCAAGTGCTTTAAAAACGTCTTTTAATCCTGCAGTGACTACATCACTGCATCTGTATCTTATGACACTGATCAGGACAAGAAATACTCTTAGCCCATAGCAAGGGTAGTTTAAAGATCAGAGCCAGTTTCTGCACAGTGAAATAAAGTGCAATTTAAATGAAATTAACTGGTTAAAAATAAAGGCCTGCAGTAAGCTTATAAATGTATTTTATTTTTTATTAACGCTCCTGGTATTCTAAAAAATTGATAAAGAAGCAGAAACGGAGCAAAGATATTTGTTAATTTCCCGTGAATCCCCAAGCAAACAGCACAAATTTGTATATAAAATCCTCCATATAAATTATCAGTTTACATTTTTCAAATGCTCTTGATCCTAACATCATATAAAGTGTGATTTTACTAGAGGTATCTATTCTACCTTCCTGACACTTAGTAAAATAAAAATGTTAAGATATTCTCATCTTTGAAAATATTTTAAGCCATAATTCCTTATTAAAACAGTATAAGTTAATGAATTAACATTCAAACAACCACTTCAGTGGCAAACAATAGTGAAATTATGATCACAGCAGTTTTCAGCAGAAATCTCAATTGAATTCAAGAAAAAATGCCTCCAGAAAAAAATCTCATAACATTTTCAGCTTTGATCATCATCATCATTGTGTGTGGGGGGCAGACAGAAATAACAAAAAGAGACAGAAAGAGAACATGTTGTATGACAAATAGCGAATGTATATATTCTGTCTTATCAAGGATTTGGGGACTTTTGGACAGATGGTTTTTGATATGTAAGTAAAAAGCAGTGAAGTTAAAGTGATCAAGTATTTAATACAGGAACAAGTTCCCACTCTTTATTCCAGAAAGCCTCATTTAAAATGAAAATACCAAAGGGGCGAGCTACTCATCATTTACTATAAACTCATTTATCAGATTTGCTGTAGTCATCCAGAATGGTAGAAACTAACTAGCAGTCCCTCAAACTCATCTCCTGTACACCATTGTTGCACAGTTAAATTATACTTCCAGATACACTGAAGGAGGCAGGAAGGAAGGAGTTTCTTGTGTCACCCCCTCCTGCAACTCCGAGCAGCACAGAATGGGGAAAGGTAGCCCCAGCTTGAGGTAGAGAAAGGAAATTAAGCCCAGGCTTTAAACTTGAAATCCATGGTGAAATATGGTGCTAAATGAGCCCCACATCCCCTACTTCCAGTCAATATTCACAGACTGAGCCACCGGAACTGCTTTAGCCAAGCAGGGAAAGGAATAGTGCCATTTCCTGTCATCCAGCTAGGATCAAGAGTCCACCCACACTCTGGAGATCAGGGAATGAAAGCTAGCATACCTCCATGTCTGGAAGCCCATTGGCAGGCCAGCTCTGGGTAAAAACTTAAGACTCCCTACCCAGAAGGAATCTCCTTTGGCATTAGGTGTGACCATGGACTGCGAATGCTACACTGCCAGTCTTGGCTCATAAAAACCTCACACAATTCTCCAGGTTCAGAGATCAAGCCTTTCAACCAGTTCCAGCATCAGGAAGAAAGAATCCTGTTCACCAGTGAGGCAGGTCACCTCAGTTCCAACCTTGGAGTGGGCTAGACATCTTCCCCCCAAGACTGTTCAGGTCCCTGCATGAGGTTCAGGTTCATGTCTGGCTGAGTAAGGAGTGCTGCACCCATCTCTAGTGAGAAAACTCCTAGGCCTATTAGGTCTGGAATAATCTGCCCCCTCAGGTGTGTAGAGATTTGACCTTAGACAGATAAACTGTTCCTCTCAAAAACTCCATGTAAAATTTATACTAGCAGTGACATCTAATCAGTTTTTTAGATAAAATGTGAGTATGCAAATCTATACCTGTCTGGATTTGGTGTCTGATTTGTCATCCCCCCTCTCTTTTCAGTAATAATTTATTTGCAATAAACATAGTCAGTTGGTTCCACTCAAAGTGTGTTTATTGATTGCCTGTACTTTCATTGTCCCTTGCGACAGTTTTAGTGGATTTCGGGTTAACCAATTCACCATTTAAGCCCTTGAGGATTAAAAGTTGCTCCAATTCAGTCAGGTGGTGTTGCATGACCCTGAGGTTTACCAATATTCGCTTGCGTAAGGCCATTGATTGTGGAAAACGGTTTAAGATATCCTGAGAAAGGTTGTAGACTGAAGGACTATCTGTACTGCTGCTAGACGAGCTAATAGTAGTTCTTTTTACTAATGCAAGAGCAGTCGAATTTGATGACATTTCACCAGTGTTTCTCTGTAAAGAAAATTACACACATGTAATTTGTTTAGTTTAACAATTTCCAAATACTAGCAAATAACAACTTGTTTACAAAAATTGATATGATTTATGTTCTTGTGCAGTTTAGTACATCTATAGATGGACTCTGTCTCTGACCCTTATCTAAAAGAATTTCACTTCCAACTATAAAAAATACCATGAAACTCACATTTGGACTTGAAATATTTGTGAATATACAGAAAGCTCTCTCAATGATGACAAGAGAACCAAACAGACATGTGGGCAAAATAGAAATGAAAGAAGGTGAGAGCAGATTCTCAGAATAGGATGTGATGGTGGGAAAGGTGAGCTTTTGGCTTCACCTTTTTCTCCAGTTGAATGAAAATCAATCCATATAACTTAGTGACTTGGGACTATTTTACAACAGACCACTGTCAATGGAATCTATGGTCAAAATGAGGACTTAATGGACAAAATGAGGAGGAAAGTAGTTAAAGTCTAGAGCTCTTTCTACAGAAAAAAATGAGTTCATTCATATATATATATATATATATATATTTTTTTTTGTACCGGGGATCAAACTTGCCACTAAGGCAGGCGGCGGCATCACTGATATAAATCCCCGGCCCCTAAGGTCATATTTTTACTTCACTATCTTTCTATCATCGTACAAACTCACTCCCCAATCCAAGTATTCAGACAGTTTCGTGTAATTCCAATCTCTGTTACCTTTATATGAAATCGGTTTTTCCAGAAGAAACATATGAAGGCAAACACCGCTCCACTCAATAGGAACAAAAGGATGCTCATGGTTCCTCTTCAGTCTTGTCTATTTTCTTAGAACAGAGGTTCTGGGCTTGTATTTAGGAAGTAGGTGTCGCTTAGCCGCTCAGAGTGGGAAAGGCGCCGGCCCGTATGTTGGGTGTCCCTCAATTCTTGGTGCAACTGGGTTTGCGCTGAGGAGCCGGGCTTTATATAGCGGAGACAGCGTCAGACCTCATAATTGTGTTCTCACATAGGGGCACTATGACACAATCAGTGATGTAGAACCTGGCTCCCAGGAGGCCAGGCTGCACTTAGAAACTGCGCACCTGGTTAATGTGTCAAATCTTTTGAGAGTTAGGACACTGAAGGAACTTAAGATTTCCAAGAAGCTGAAATATAGTAGAAGTACACATTTTAACCAGCCTGAGAGATTGAGAGCAAAACAATAGCAATAAGTACGAAAATAAAAAGGGGATTAGAGACTGTGAGAGGGAGGCGGATGGGAAGAGGAAGGGAGATAAAAAAGAAACAAGCTGTTTTGTATATGCACTTACTTCCCAAGGAAAATGCAAACTTCAGATCCTGCAAACATGTACTAATAAAATTTTTTAAACTTGCAAATAATCTAAAAAATAAAAAAATGCTCTCACCACCTTTTTTCTTTTAAAAGTATGGCTGCCTTTGCTGCCGCCACTCCATTATCCATTTCTAAAACAAGATAGACATGTACTGTAAAGAGTAGTCACCGACTAATTGTAAGTGTCAGTCATTCTTCACATTCCTGTTACTATTTTAGGATTTATTCCAACCTTAATCACATTGGAATAATTATATATATTTGTTGTCTTGAAGTTGAAAAAATGATTTCAAAAACATATTCTCATATAATTCTCACAACAAATTTGAACTATAGGTATGCTTAATACTGGATCTATTTTTGCAGACATAAAACCAGATTCAGGTGTTAAACTCATCTGAAGTCAGTAGCAAAAGCAGGGCTTAAGTGATGGAATTTGAGCTCTGAGATAAACTGTCCTATTTCTTCATCCACATTTACATCCCCAAAACCTCCTCCTCCACTCTGATTTGTATGTATCAAGTGTTTAATATTTTTCAGCAAAGGAATTAAAGTCTATTAGTGGAAGGTAACACAATAATCACTGTACTAGACAGGAATGTTCATGAAATTTATTTAAATGTGAAAGATGACATTAAACTAAAAATGCGGAACTAAAGTGAATGACCAGGGCAACCTCAAAGTGAATGTCAAACAATAACCTATAACTCTGCTTGAGGAACAACTCTCGTTTCATATAGTGTATTGGTCAGTTTTCCTGTTGCTGGGATAATATACACACACCTCAGAGGAGGCGAGGGTTATTTTGGCTCACAGTTTCAGAGGTTTCAGTCCATGAGTGGCTAGGCTCAAGGCAAGACCATTATGGCAGAAGGGCATGGTGGAGCATGGTAGCTGGAAATAGAAAAATGAATCAGAGAGGAAGCGGCCAGGAGCTAGATATACAATCTAAGTTCATACCTCCTTGACCCATTTCCTCCAACTAAGCTCCAGCTTCTAATAATCTATTCAGCTGTAAACTCTTCAATAGATCAACTCATAATCCAATCTCATGTCTAGGAGTCTTACTCGAGTCAAGCTAGCAAGCAAAATTAACTGGCATAGGGAGGTAAAGTAACTTGCCCTTGATCAAACAGCTGGTAGCTGGCAGTTAAAAACCGCTAAAGTCCCGACTCCATTCACCTCAGCCCCTAAAGCATACAATCCCCAAACTAACATGTTTATAGTGGCACAGTTTGTAATAGCTAAAATGTGGAAACAGCCCAATTGCCTATCATTGGTAACTGGATAAAAAAGATGCGGTTCTTCTATAAAATGGAGTACTACTCATCCTTGAAGAATGATAAACTAGAGTCATTGATAGGAAAATCGATGCATATTGATGCTACACTCAAGTTAAATAAATCTGACACACGTATAAATCTGAATAGTTTCTCTGGTGTGAAAAACTAAAAGCGTAATTAAGATCGAAATTCTATAACTGATAATGTGAAGTGGCTGCAGGCAGATCCCCAGTGAGTGATCTGCCCCCACCCCAGAGGCTCAGGCAAACTTGCCCAAACAAAGCTCACCCAGGAAAGAGCTTCATGGGCACACATGCTTCAGACAGAGGCCCTCCCCATAGCATCAGTGATTTGAATCCTGGAATTTGTGTACTGGTGAGAAGCAGAGAAAAGCCCTCTTAGTAGCTTGCTGAGAATTGAAGACCACTGGGTGAGCAAAAAGTTGTCTCAATAAAGGCACAGCAGGCTGCATCTATTGAAATGAGAAGACATAGAAACAAGTCCTAAAACCAGATGTCCAGATCACCTAAGGCAAACCTAAAGGGAAATGAAATGAAACAATCTGATACTCAACCACCTGGACTCCCTGAATTGGCAACAAAAGAGTATCTGGAAAAAATGAAGTCAAAAATAATTTGTCATATTGTGCCCATAGTGCAAGACAAGATTAATAAATCTAGAGCAGACACAGATTTTTAAAAAGAGGAGCTGAGGAACATGATGGAATCCCAACATAGGAAATGAATGAAATCCATAAAACAGATGCAAACAGATTTCCAGGAAATTAAAAACTCCGTTGAAAGTTTACACAGCAGAATGAGCCAATGAGAAGATAGAATTTCAGATATAGAAGATAGGATTGTAATTAGTAAACAGGAAAAGAAAAATTTCTTAAAAATGGTAAGGGACCATGAGTAATCAATCCAAAAGCTGCTAGATGATGCAAAGAAGAATAATATAAGACTGATTGGAGTCAATGAAGAAACAGGACAGAGAGCAGATTACACACACATTCACAGAAATAAAGGCAGAAAACTTCCCAAGTAGGGGGAAAGAACTTGACATACAAATAAGTGAGGCATATAGAATTCCAGCTAGCTAGCCCTGATAAAAAAAATTTACACATAGGCATATCATAGTTAAGATTCCAGAGACTCAACAGATGAACAAAGTTCTACATGCAGTCAGAGAAAAGAAACAAATCACATACAAAGGAAAGCCCATCAGAATCACAGTAGACTTCTCAACACAAACTCAGAGCTTGGAGTGATATATTTCAAACCCTAAAGGAAAACAGCCTCCCATCCAGACTAATGTAACCTGCAAAACTACCTTTCAAAATTAATGGAGAAATAAGATACTTTCATGACAAAGACCACCTTAGGAACTTTATGAATACCAAACCAGCACTCCAAAAAATTTTAAACAATATCCTAGGAAATGACAATGAGGGTATTCACCCTAGGAAGCCTAGCAGAATGAATCCATCAGGCATAAGAAATTAAATGCCGAGAGCTGGAGAGGCCGGGAGCTGACCCTCAGGTAAAACAGCAACATAGAAAAATTAAAGAAGACTGAGGACCATGAAAGAAGGCATCAGGGAATTTTGCTTGTTAGGGTCATTAGATTGCTGGTCCATTAGTCTAAACCAGGGTAAAGGCCATGTTGCCTCCTGGGATAGTTCCCCTGAAGGAGAACGTGAGACTCCAGTGCAAGTGAGGGTCCTGATCCTTTTTGTGCTTAGCCGTGGAGAAGTTGTGAGCACATACTCAGCACCTGCAGGAAAATCTGCACAGCCTTGGGGAGCAGGAGGGAGAGAAAGATGAGGACAACCCACTTGAGGAAGAATTCTCCATCTTGTGGCAGGAATGTGGCTTTTGCTCTCTGGAAAATTCAGCTGATCTCATCCTCCATGTCTACTTCCACTGATACCACAACAAGTTCAAACAGTAGGGGCTGCAGGCCCTGCAAAGCCAGGCCAACCTCAGCCCCTGCATCCTGGACTTTTAGAGCTGGAATAGCATCTCTGACATCCCTGACCACTTCCTGTGTCTGTGGGAACATTGTGAGAGCTCTTTCAACAATCCTGAGTGGTTCTATTGGCATGTGGATGCACACTGCCTGTGCTGTGACCAGCAAGCAATTGGCAAGAACAGCCACGTGGTGCTGTGTGGCTGCAAAGGTTGTACTTGCACCTGCAAGGACCACTATAAGCTTCGAGATCACCTCTGCAGCCACATCCGAGAAAAGGTGGTAACCTGCCCTACCTGTGAGGAAATGTTCACCAACAACACTAACTTCTTAGAGCACATCTGCTGCCAGACCTCCTTGGATCAACAGTGCTTCCAGTGCTCTCACTGTTCTAACAGATTTGCCACAGAGCAGCTATTGAGGGACCACATGCACAACCATGTGAATCACTGTAAGTACCCTCTGTGACATGACCCTCCCACTGCCTTCCTCCCTCCGCAACCACATGTGTTTTCACCACAGTGAGGAAAGGCCCTTTAAATGTGACTGTTGTGACTACAGCTGCAAGAATATGATTGACCTCCAGAAAAACCTGGACACCCGCAGCAAGGGGCAAGCCTATAGGTGTGACTTTCAGAACTGCAGATTCAGTGCCCTGACCCTTTGCTCTATCAAGTACCATTACCGCAGAAAGCCAAGGTACAAGTGTCATGTTTGAGACAAATGCTTCTCATGCAGCAACAACCTCACCGTGCATCTTCGTAAGAAGTACCAGTTCAGGTGGCCCTCAGGGCACTCCTGTTTTCAATTCAAGGAGCATAAAGATGGCTACATGCAGCTGTTGCTGGCTCGCTATGAGAGTGTGGAGCTGACGCAGCAACTGCTGCAGTAGCCACAACAGGACTCAGAGATGGGAGTGGAGCTAAGTGAGAGGAACCTGCAGAGCATCATTCTAGGAACAGAACTGGGGGAGCCAGGACCTGAAGAGGAGGCAGAAAGGAGTGGGTGCAGTGAAGGGATAATCCTCTCTGACTCTCAGGACAGTTCAAGCCCTGTTATCCATATGGTGAATCAGAACAATACCCAAAGCCAGCAAGAGATCATCTACTATGTGCTTTCTGAAGCCCTAGGAGAACCACTCCCAGTTCCTGAGCCACCCTCAGAGGGCTTGGAAAAGCTTCAAGAAATAGCTGAGGAGCCAGAGGTCCAGATGGCATGAAGGCTACAAAGCCTAACCATTCCTAACCCAGGACTTGAGGTTTGAGCCAGTGAGAATGACTGGAATATTGTCTGGGAAACTTTCAAAACTCCCCAAGGGAGACCAACTCTCA